CCCCCTCCCCGCCCAGGCCACCGCCCAGGCCACCTCCCAGACAGGCGCGGACTGGGGCGGTGGGACCCAGGAGGAACCGCCCTAGGAGGGGGCGCGGACCGCCCAGCCCCCGCTGGCCTGGAGTCTGGCGGGACGGCTGGGAAGGCGGGGTTGATTGGGCTGGGAAGTAGGTGGGCAGGGCCCGAGTTCGGGGGTCCTCCTTCCTTGCCGCCCGAGAGGGACACCCTGCCTGGCTTCGCTGGAGCCAGCCGGAAACCATCTTCCCTCCCTCCCCCACAGCAAGCTGCTGGGCCCCGGGCTGCCCTGGGCGCGGAGGGGTTAGGTCGGCAGGACACATCTGGGACAGCCAGGACCCTGGCTTTGCAGTCTCGGAGCCGCCACGCCCTGTAGTCTATGACCAGGACCTCAGAGGCAGTGTGGAGGGATGGTCTCCCTGAAGAAATCTCACCTGCCCAGCTGGCCCTGCCCAGGAGCCCAGAGCAGTGTCTTATTTCCTTGGGCTGTGACTGAGGTATCCTCACCCCCAGCCACAGCTCAGAGCGGAAACATTTTATAACCTGCCTGCTAGCGGGCAAGGTCAGGCTCACGTGGTCTGCCTCCCTTCTGGAGTTTTCCATTAAATTATTTACACAGGCTGGGAACAAGCCCACAGACCTCTGCAGGAAGCCCACAGGCACAAGGTGGCATTTGTTCTATTGCGAACAGTCTCATTTCTCCAGGGACCCCTCCTTTCTTAAATGTGACCCTTTGGAGGTAAGAAGCCTCCCAAGGTGGCACCTTCTAGGTCCCTGTGGTTTACTCTTGGGAGCCAGAAAAGTTCCCCACCAGATGTTTCCTCATCAGGGACCCCAAGCCCTGAGCAGCAGTCAGAGCTGGTAGCTCTAACCTCCCCGCCCCCTCTGCAGGGGCTGGGGGACGAGCAGGGGTGGGGCTCACCTCTGGAGCCCATATGCCAGGAAGCGGCCCTTGAGGATATCACCCAGCTCCTTGGGCCTTTGGGAGAAGGGTGAAACGCTGAGCACTAATGCATACAACAGACTTCAGTAGGAGGGAAAGTAGGACCGCCCCGCCCCCCGCCCCTACTTCCAGGCTACACAGACTTTATTAAGGTCAGATCTCAGGCCTGGTTTCCTAGGATGCTCCAGCCTGGACAGATTAAAGTGGTAGAAAACCTGCCCAGTGCCTGAGTGACAGGAGCAACAAGGGTGGCCACTTATCTCCAAGGCCCCACCTCACAGGCAGGCAGGGTGCCCAGATGCTGCTGCTTAGAGGGTTCATCAGGATCACCTCACCCCTAAGAAGAGCCCACAGTCCCCTTCTGAGGAGGGTCCCTACTGGTTCTTTCTGCATAATGTGGATGGTGCTTCTGAGCATGGGGTCAGCCCCACCCACCCCCAGTAGCATGGACTATGGACCATGCCCAGGCCTGAGGCAACCGTGGAAAGGCTGGGGACAGCTAGGCTGTGCTTTACAAGGTCGCTCCCTATGTGGGGAGGAGGACATGTGCCCATCCAATCGCACCCCCAGAACCCCCTACAGTTTTAATTCAAGATGCAAGGGACAGCCCAGTGTGTGTAATCCACACTGCATAGACTTTCTGCATCACCATTATCAAGCATGAAGAAGCTATTTATCTACTCTTGGACCCTGGTGTTCTGCAATTTGGATCTGTAAGTCCCTAGAGGCAGGAACTGTCTGGCTACTGTATCCCTAGCCATGACACAGGCCTACCACTCAGCATGTGCTCGTTTACCTTTTAGGTGAAAAAGAAAAAAAAAAAAAACCTTTATTTCAGATTGCAAAGATCTGGGCCTAAGGTAAACTTACATGCTGAGTTTGTAAGGCTGTCCTGTGAGGTGGCCAGTTCTCCATCATGAGACATATTCAAATGGAGGTTCAATGACAGCATACTAGGGATCTTGTAGAGGGGTTCTCAGTGGCAATGTAGAAGTATGTTAGAGGAGATGGACTTTTATACCCTTAAAATGTACTTAGGAATAGCTAGCCTAACAAGAGGATATCTACATATCTATAACCAGATGAAAGGTACAAAGGTAAGCTGGTTCTGTGATGGTAGAGAAAGGAGGGCCAGACAAGGAGACTTCTAAAGGCAGAGTCCCGCTCAAATGCTAACACCCCACGTTTACAGAAATCTTACCCTAAGCCTGGGCTGTTCGCCTGCATGCAGTATCTCCCCCCATCCCCACCCATAAAGGTGCTTGCTCAGGAGCCCAGATAATAAAGGGCAGTGCCAGGGCTTGAGTCTGTCTCTCTCCTGGGGAGAGGTGTGTTCAACACAAAAGAGCCAGAAGCAGCAGGAGGTGTAAACAGCTGGAGGGACCAGTCCCCATCCTGCTTTTCCTCCCCTTTCCCTCCCTGGGGAGTGCAACTGAACCTGGTTCCTACAAACAGGCTTCCTTTTCCCACACACCTTACTCACCTGCCCCCTCCGCTTCAAGCCCCTGTCCTCCCATAAATGTGAATTTAGTGGCATCTCCTATTTAAATGCCTCCTAGAACCAAAGTTCTCAGGCTTGAGCCCTGATATCTTTTGGGGCCTGGCCCTGGCCGGCTACACTGGCCTTGGCTCATGACTTCCTCTGGGAAGCTTTTTTTTGACCTCTGTTGGCCAGGCCCCCCCTTCAAAGCTGCATCATGATATCCTTAACTGCCCTTTTCTGGTGTGTTTCCCTCACCTGCCAAGGACACTGTCACCACGTGCCCCCAGTGCTAAGGCAAGGTCATAGCAGGAGCCCAACAAGCAGGAGAAAAGAACAGAGGAAAGGATAAGACCACCATACGGTAGTGGGCGGGCTGGTGGTTATGCTTTGCATGTAAACTCAGCAAGCGAGAATTAACCCAAAACAGGCCAGAAATCATTTCCGCGGGTGCCCCAGGCTTCGGGAGGCAGGGCTCCAACTCGTGGTCTGCGCATGTCCTCGGGTTATGCACAGGTTGGTGCTGTACGTCAAATTCATGAATGCGCACCTATTTGTACATCCCGGGTTCGTGCAAACAGAGCCAATGCACCCCAGACCTGCGTACGCAGCCAGGCGGTGCAAACACACGTGCACGCATACTCGAGTGTGAGAACATTCTCGAGGTCGTGCACATAGGAATACATGGGAACCCATGAGTTCGTGAATGCCAGATACAAACACGAGTTTGGGCATACTAGACCGTGTACACGCTGGGAGGCCCAGCAGAGGCGCCCATTTCCCTCCACGCTGGGGCACGGCGGCTGCCTTTCGGCGCCATCTTCGCCCCGCGGACGTCGGAAAGACCTGCGGTCTGCGCAGCCCCTGCGCTCCGGCCTTTGTTGTCTGGGCTTCCGGGCGTCCATCACGCGGAGGCCGCGCGCGCGCGGGAGCACGAAATGGCGGCCGGGGGGCGTGGCGTGGAGGGGCGGGGGCGTGGCGGACTGGAGCGGCGGCACGGCGGCTGCCTTTCGGCGCCATCTTCGCCCCGCGGACGTCGGAAAGACCTGCGGTCTGCGCAGCCCCTGCGCTCCGGCCTTTGTTGTCTGGGCTTCCGGGCGTCCATCACGCGGAGGCCGCGCGCGCGCGGGAGCACGAAATGGCGGCCGGGGGGCGTGGCGTGGAGGGGCGGGGGCGTGGCGGACTGGAGCGGCGCGCACA